ATGCATGCATACTTCATATTAACATCTAAAAAATGGTTGTGTTTTATATTATGGGATGGAGGGAGTATGGTTTTATAGAACTTTATGGCCATAATATATGAGGTTATGTATCACGTGTTAAAACCCCGATGGTTTTATGCAACTTAGACCATAAAGAAATTTAATTAAAAATAATCAAAATTGTTACTCCCAAAGCATTGTCAAATAGCAGTCGCCTCGTTGCTAGTATATTCCCTGTACATTCCAAGCCTACACTTGACATGCCCCTTCACTAGGACAATGGAAGATGTGATGTTTTTGTTGTTTATGTTTTCCATATCTCATTAGCTTGTGTGTCAAAGCATAAATCTGGTGTGTGGTTAGTACAGCTAATTATGTATACTTGGTTCTTCGCATTACCATCCAAAACAGATCTGTGAGGAGAATCTCCAAGCACCGATGCCATTTTTAGTTTAAACAATATTTTGTGGGATAGTTGTCATTCATTAGCTTTAACTAATCAATTGGTACCAACAAGATGAGGCGCTAAGTTTCATCGATCAATCAGTTTGTTTAGCAGAAAAGTGGAGGCTTGGCTCGGTGAAGGTTCTGCTCTCTTATCTAACATAAAAAAATAGGTCAACTTGGAAAATTCTAACCTTTCTGTGTTCTTTACTCCGAATGGAATGGAGTAAGAATAAGCATGCTTCCTGAGATTATAAAGGGTGCGAATTTTTTGCAAAAACTTTATATATTTGAATTTCTTAGAAAAATGTTGTTGATCCATTTTTCTAACTAGGAAGGTAGCCCACGCATTCGCGCGGGCATGTATCGTGCACTGTATTTGAAAATGGATCATATTTATCAGAGAGCCTCCGCCATGTTTTGGAAGTGCATTTCCTCAGCAAATATTCTTCGTTGCATCACTTTGATAATTTCTCTATGCTATATACTATATAGTATTTAATTAATATGTATAAGCAATTATATATAATCTTCATCATCATCTAAAAAGGAGTTAGACCTAGTTTGTTTAGAAAACATGTTTATTTAATTAAAAGCAAGGTGTTTTTTTCTTTGTTTGTTGAATGCTATGGGCCCTATTGATGAAAATGTAAGACCTAGCTAAATTCATTGTTCCTTTTCCCCCGCCATACGGTTTTATGCAGCTCCTAGTCACCGTGTTGAGATGTGGTCATTGCACCTACAGAGGTTGCCTTGTGATTCATCGCAGTTGTGATCACATTTTTGGTGGAGCTTAGTTACTCATATTTCCATGTCTTGTTATATCATAAAATCTAAATGGACTCCAAAGTTAATCATTTAAGTATATATATACAACAAAATATATTTGCAGATGATTAATGTTTATATATAGGGATGATTCACCTTTTGAATGGTCTATGAGCAAAGAAAATAAACGGAGTTACCCAGAATGCTTAGAAGGCCAAAACAACACGCTTGAACATATATCAATGATATACTAAAAGTGCATTAAGCACCATCTAAAGTCAATTAGATGGTAACATAGTTTAAAGCAAATACACGGAAGATCATTTAGCTTGCTTGGATTATTTTAGCACATATTTTTTAAAAAAAATCATGAAGTAATCGGATTTTCTCTAACTAAAGCCATTGGATTTTCTATGCATTGGTGGTTTGGACTTCATATTTTAGTTAGTTGTATTTGCTGAGACAATGTATATCTCATTTAGCTATGCATGTTTGACAAACAACATATGATGATGCAACCTGTATTGGATTATTTCGTAATTCTTTTACAGCAATTCAAATCACACGTAAAAGGGCAGGGTGTTCTCCCTTAATAAAAAAAATGTTTCATAGTTCACTTTGTAATTTTTGTTTGGATAACTATTGATTTAATTTAGCTATACATGTTTGCAGAATGATGTATAGTGATGTAATATGTGCAGCCAACTTGTTTAAGGTATTTGAATCATATTTGGATGGTATGCAAAGCACATGGGCTGAATGTGTGTTGATGTGAAAAACACACACTGGCCTAGGAGATCTGCTTAACTCCAGTGCAGATCCTAAATCTTACTTCTGGGTTCGTCGTCAACAATGTGGTCGAATGCCATATTTTGTATATAGGAAAATATAAGGATACGGATCTTAAATTCCTAGTTTAATTATAAATAGAGCAATAATTATATTAGAAATCAGACATGTAGCTTAAAAACTATGGTTGTTTTAACATATTGATTATTTCTCTTTTAGTTTACTCCTACCCAAAAATAGGGATGGGATTGGCAGTGGTCAGCGCGCATGTGAAGGGGGCGAGGAGGTAGATGCGATTTATTTTTATAACTTCTCCAAATAATGTAACTTAAAACCAATGATGATAGGTTTAATTTTTTCTCAAAATTTTTAAGATTATTTATGATTTTCAGGACATGACACGTGGCAGCGTAAGATTTTTCGTAAATTAAATCTAATGGTTGAAAATAATGGGTCCATCGATTTAAATGAAATATTTTATAATTTTAAAATGTGACATATGGTGACTTAAGTGTGCTCTAAAGGTCTTTAATTGGTTTTGGTTTTTATTGCGTAGATTGTTTAATATGAAATAATACATGTTTTCATTCTGTTATAATTTTTCAATTTCATTCAGTTGCCCTGCATAGGAGTATTTTAATTTCTATATAGTAAAATACAACTATAATGGATATTGAATTATTTAATTAACTGTAAATAAAACAATAATTAAAAAAAATTAAATATCAAATATAATTTTAGAAATTATAAGTCATTTAGCTATGTTTTTTAAATATTAGGTTGTTAGTTAAAAATAATAAGGCGAGAGGATCAAAGGAGGTATATGTACAGCAGGACAAGGGACGGAAATTTTTTTCTGAGGCATATTCCAACGGGTCGTAGTCTTTAGTTATCTATTTTTAAAATATAGATATAATTTTAGACCTATTAGAAAATGTGTCGGGTGTTGTATTTACTAATATAAGCAAAATGTTGCCACTCATATGGTTTAAAAATCTATGTGATTTTTCTTAATATATATCGAGTGACCAATAGGTAGTCTCTAGCATTATATGACCCAAAGAAATACATTTATTTTACTTTTAAAATATATTTAATGTAGGTATTGAATTCTAAATTTTATTGTAAATAATCTCGTCCCATGCACGGATAAAAAATAGCTATTTAGATGATATAGTTGTTTAAAATAATTTATTACAAAGTATGTTTTCCAATATTAATTAAGAAAATGCTTGAAAATAGGAGGGCATGTTGCCCTTATATATTAGGGTGAGGGCAGGGATATATGATACTTCCTCCGTTTCACAATGTAAGTCATTCTAGCATTTTTCACATTCATATTGATGTTAATGAATCTAGATAAATATATATGTCTAAATTCATTAACATCAATATGAATGTGAGAAATGATAGAATGAATTACATTGTGAAACAGAGGGAGTACGTAACTACGTACATATACCTAACGTAACGTAATGGATGGAAGCAGTGGGGTGTGGGTCTTTCTTTTTTTTTTCTTTAAGGAAATCCGAGGGTAGAAAATACGGGTGCACCGTATATTAGTGAAAATCGATGGCTAGATGTTTTGTTTTTTCTATAATTTTTCTAGAGTGATACATGGTGAGATGAGAGTGTTTGTAGAATGCCATATAACGGTTTGAGAATGTTTTAAGGATGCTTAATAGCCTTTTAGTATATAATAGATTATCAAAAACTAACTATTATATATCAGCCCCATGTGTCGTGATATATTTAAGACCACAATATAACTTATAATTTAATTAAAGGAAAACAACGGAATCAGAAATTAGATATATAATTTAAAAATAATTTAGAAGATGGTTCAAGGAACATTGGTTGGATATTTTATATTATTATTATAGATCTTAGTTTAACTATATATATTTATATTTGTGATGTAATATATTTTAGAAAATCATATTTTATTTAAAGATCATCGATTTTTATGATGTATTTTTTTGTCGTCTTTTTTATGTATATGCGCATGGTTTTTTTCTTTTCTTTCCAGCGAATAGTACGTAAACTATTGTTTTGTTTTTGTGCACATAAGTACGTACGGGAGAAGACATCGTATAAACCTGTACGTACATGACAACAGTAGTAGCTCTTAAATCATATACAGAGAAAGTTGAAATTTTTTAATAATAGATATAATCCAATGGTATAAAATAACGGGTCCACCAATTTAAGTGAAAATCGACGGTGAGATTTGATAATGCCAAGTGGCAGCCTATGAGCGTTTGTAGCATGCCATGTGACGGTTTAGGAGCGTTTGTAGGAAGTTTAATTGACTTTTAGTATATAATAGATAATAGATAATAGATAGATAGATAGATTTAAAATATGGTTTTGAGAACATTGATTGGATATTTATATAGATCATTATTTAACTAAATATATTTATATTTGTGAAGTAATATATTTTATCTAAAATCATATTTTTAAAACCATCGATTTTTATGGAAGTATGTTTTTTCTGTCTTTTTTTTTCATGTGTACGTTTTTTTTTGGGTTCGAGCAAGATTAGGAAAGATAATGTACATTACGTTTGTACGTATGGAAAGATCAGCAGTAGTATCGTACAAACACATACGTACAGATCATGAGGAGGTTATTATTTTTTAATAATAGATCTAATCTAATGGTGTAGACTAACGGGACCACCAATTTAAGTGAAAATCAACGGTGAGATTAGATAGTGCCATGTGGCGACTTAGGAGCGTTTGTAGAGCGCCACGTGGCGGTTTAGGAGCGTTCGTAGGAAGTTTAATGGACTTTTAGTATATAATAGATAGATAGATAGAAGATTTGTACTATTTATTTAATTAGTTTATTTGTACCCTCGAATAATTATCACAAGTCATTCAGTTATTCATTCATTCAGCACTGACCCTACTATCTTAGGCAATCAACAAGAATTGATTGGACTCCACCAACATTAAAATAGTTGTTGATGGAACCAGCAGAAACTTGCATCAACAAAGCTTACAAACCATAAAAAAAATTGGATGAATTCAGAGTTTTGCCCACAGCTTTTGGCATCAATGTAACTTCCAATCCTTTGGCAAGATTTTTATTGGATAATAACGCTGGTGAAATTAGTCCATTAGTGTCATCAGCATGCTTAACAAGAACTTGCCCACTATGTCCAAAACTGCTCGAGAGGCAGCCACCAAGATGGTTCCGTGACGGATATTCCAAGATGACAAATGGAATTTCATCACGATTTGCAATAAAATGGAGTGAAATCCACTCATGAATTCAGAAGGATTTAGGCTTTTTTTACTAGCAGAATGATGACAGCTTCTCTGCATCCATGTGTCTGCAAGGCCTCTCCTGCCTTCAGACCTGCCTCTTCTCTGGGTGCAAGAACCCAGCCAAAATCCACAGCCACAAACCCAAAGGTATTTTCTTCTCATGCAGAATGTAGTTAGATCTTCTCTTGTTTTTAGTCTGCAATACCACATACTCCAAGATAGATACCTGATCTTCAGATCCTTTCTTTCTCCAGAGACCTTTGTTTCAGGAGCTTCAGAGGCGACTTTCTTTCAGGATTGACGAAGCCTCAAAGGCGCTGGAGACAGCAAAACAGGGGCTTTTGGATGCGTTGGTCGACTCAACCTTCAAGTTTTCTGACCAACCTATGCTCCCATCAGAGGTACTTGATCCAAGGATTGCTTCATTCCCCATTGTGTCCATCATCAATAACAAAATAAATGGTTTTACAATTCTGCAGAACAATTTTGCCCCAGTCAATGAGATCAGTGAAGCCATAGAGATTCTGCAGATTGAAGGAGAGATACCTGAAGATTTCCCAGAGGGTGTATACATCAGAAATGGTGGTGGCATCATTCTTTTCTTGTTACAGTATCAACAAATAAGTATAACTGTGTGCAGTACATGAGAATTGCTGACCATAATAATAAGCTAATGGTGGAAAATCTCAACAGGTTCCAATCCACTGTTTGGAGCCCTCCATTCGACCGTCTCAATCTTCGGAAAATCCAGCGAAATATGGGTTGAAGGCGAGGGCATGCTCCATGCCATCTACTTCACAAAGAACAGTTCAGATACTTGGTCAGTCTCCTATGCAAATCGATATGTGCAATCTGAAACATTAAAGATTGAGAAAACCAGACAGAAGCCATGTTTCCTCCCTGCCATCATGGGCGACTCTGCAGCCATCGTCGCGGCCTACATTCTCAACTATGTAAAAATAACACTTCACAAGCCTAATAAACTATATGTTATTTTTTTTCAGACAATCTGAAATGGATAAATTATATGCAATGCAGATGAGGTTTGGCAAAGTGAACAAGAACATCAGCAACACCAATGTATTTGAGCATGCTGGAAAGGTGTATGCTGTTTCTGAGAACCACCTGCCTCAGGAAATCAGCATTCAGAATCTCGACACGGGTGATAGCTGGGACATTAATGGGGAATGGAAAAGGCCTTTCACAGCTCACCCAAAGGTATGGCTGGTCATTTTCTGTAAGCTACATGAGCAATAGGAATCAGTAATTGAAGCATTTATAGGCAGAAGATATAACTAGATGGGTACCCCGCAGCAACGCTGCGGGTGAATTGTGTGTTAAAATAGGAGATATGGTAAAATTTTCTTACGTACTATACGATTTTATTTCATATGCTTACATATTTTGTACATTGATCAATTATCTAAAGGTTATAAATATGATGTCTTTTAGAGAGAAGAGATGCAATTTGCACCCTTAATGAATGATCTAAAGGCTAAAAATAATTAAGGTTATGTGGCTTTATGAGAGAAGAAAGAATTAACATTAACTACACACTTAGTGGGATACACTTTATAGATATATATAGGGTTATTGGAAAAACACATGTGCAAAGTCAGGTGCCCAGGCACTTCAAATAGAATCATCAGATTGTTTCAATTACATCTGTGCTCTGGAAATTTTATTCAATAAGAAGATTATCGAGCCAAAAATATGGCACATTATTGCCTATGGACTATATTGTCACGCAATGAGATGTGTAGCACGTAGGATGGAAGCCTATTGCAGAATAGCAAGTGGTTTCGCTATATGGCACATCTTTGCCATTTAACTGCAAAGACAAACATATGAGGAGCTCACCACAACTAAATACATATAAATAAATAATGTAGAATATTTTTTTTATTTGAACATCATACACTATAGATATATAGTTATGAACAACTGCAAAGTATGATACATCACATGACTTCACATTCTGAGTAAAATCATGTTTTAGTGCTATTTTGTTTTATCATTTAAATCGCTTTAAATCACTTGGTTCAAATGGATGTAGGTTGCTCCTGGATCAGGAGAGCTAGTCATTTTTGGTTCAGATGCAAAGAGGCCTTTCCTAATGGTCGGAGTTGTCTCAGGTATTTAATTGTATAGTTAGAATTTACTTCTGTCCTCTCTATCAAGGTTAAATTTAAAGTTTGACCCCAATTGAAGTTTTATTTCATGACAGCTGATGGAACTCAACTAAAACATAAAGTTGACCTCAAACTGGACAGATGTATACTCTGCCATGACATAGGAGTTACTGTTAAGTATGTCCGGGTACCAATCAGAGCCTCTTCGCTGTAGTTTAATGACTAAACTACAATCTATTTCAACATATTCTACTTAATTATCAGTCTCCAGTAAAGCAAAAGTTCAATTTACACATTTTATTCTACTAATGCAGGTACAACATAATAATGGACATACCTCTTACCATCGACATCAGTAGACTTATCAGAGGCAATCAGTAAGTATTTCACTCAAGTTTATTTTATTAAAGAGATTCTTGGCTTAAACCTGCAAACCATAAGAACGCAATCCCCTGGAACAGGTTGATCAAGTTTGAGAAGGACAGCTATGCAAGAATAGGAGTTATGCCCCGTTATGGTGATGCAGAATCAGTTATGTGGTTTGACGTTGAACCATTCTGCATGTTCCATTTTATCAACTGCTTTGAAGAGGGTGATGAGGTATAGTATTTTTATAGTTTTGTAAAGCTTGTTCCATATACTTGTAGTTGCATTAGCATAGTAATTCTGATTTTACCCAACTATCCATCATTACCAAGCATATCCAGTATGAATCTCATTTTTTTATCTTGGTAAAATAGGTTGTTATCAGGGGCTTTCGTGCGGCTGACTCCATCATTCCAGGCCCTCGGATCAGCCTAAACAAAAATGATTTGCTCTCTGATCCTTCTAAGTGTTCTGTGAAACAAGGAATTAATGAAGAATTTTTCTCTCGATTATACCAGTGGAGATTAAACACGAAGACAAAGGCTGTTTCAGGGCAATATTTAAGTGGAACTGAGTTTTCCATGGAATTCCCTGTGATCAATGACCACTACACAGGCTTGCATCATAGTTATGCCTATGCACAAGTGGTGGATTCTTTGGAAAGCTCTTACGGCGTTAATGAGAAAGGTATTAGTTAAAGAAAACAGTTTTTATGTAATTTATCAAATCTGGAGGTCCATGGCATGGATTAGAAGTATATTTCACAAGAAATATGATTGTGCATCACACCTTGATTGATAGTTCTTTCTGTATTTTATAGTAATCCTGAAATATGGAGGCCTTGCAAAACTTTGTCTTGAAGAGGCAGATAATGTAATTGCAGAGGTACATTGGAAATGGACTTGCTACAGTACTCCAACCAATCTTTATCTTATATTATTAACTCACTGCATTCATGTCATGAACCAGACATCTGAAGATCTAATAAAGACAGAATATCACGGGTTTGGAGAAGATCAATTCTTCTCTGGAGCAGCATTTGTTCCAAGAGTTGGTGGCTCACACGAAGATGATGGGTGGATAATTTCTTTTGTACATGACGAGAGGTCTAATACATCACAGGCAAGTGCTTGTTACATCATATCACATGCGCACGCCATTTTCTGTATGAATGACACACAGATTCAAATTTGAATTTGAATTTGTTTTTTTCATGTTTCTATGTTGCAGGTGCACATTATTGACGCCCAAACATTTGAAGGTGCTCCTGTGGCCAAAATAGTATTGCCACAAAGAGTACCCTATGGTTTTCATGGAACGTTCAGATCATCACTAGCAAACACAATGACGTGATGTAACTCTATGAATACTAAACCAGCAAAAAAGTGGTCAGTTTAGAATATAAAGACGTAATAGGATAAAAAATTTATAAGCAACAAAGCTTATGGGTTTAGGCTTGCTGAGTGAATTGTCAATATAGTTTACCCTGACTGAGGACAGTTATAAGGCTACCAGCAGCATTGTCCTAATATTATCCCACACGATTGTAGTCACTATGTAAAGCTAAGGTGTGCTCAGTTAAAATGTACATGCGACCTGCAATTCTAGTTGTTTGCATAGTATCCAGTTTCTCGTAAGGACATAGAACCATCAATAAGATTTATTTGTCTTCAAAGTAAATATTTCAATAATGTGAAATATCTAATTGCACTGCAACTGCGCATGCAGTACCTTTATGATGTGATAGTGCAATATACAAATGTACATCTTTACAAAGCTTAAAAGATTAATTGAAGAATTTTGTCATAGTAATGTGTGTTGCTTAAAAGCAAAGTAAGATGTAAATTCTCGTACATAAAACATACAAGTGCATTTTCATTGGCATTTTCAGCAGTGGCAACACATATTTTTTAATACAATAATCCTTAACTTGCAACTGGTAATCAGCAAACAAACACAAAATCAATACAATTCATGTTTAACTTGCAAGTGTTAAGCACTTAGAGGACACGTGCCACTAGACACTTTCGCGCGCGGAGCGGGGAACGCAGGCGACACGCGGGTTTTTTTTTTTTTGGCGCACGGTTTTCTTTTTTTTTTCTTTTTTCTGTTTTTTTTTCTTTCCATATCTTTTTCAGTGCATTTTTTTTCTGGCCACCATAGCCACCTCTTCCACCTCCACCTTTGACCTACGTCGGCCTCCTCCTCCCCTCGCTTGCCATCACATAAGTGGCACAGGAACTTGAGTGCACAATTGTCGTTCTCAACATGTAAGATCTGGTTCAAGGAAAACACGGTCCCCATCGTCATGGCAACTGTAGGCAAGGGGAGGAGGAGGAGCCCATGCCCCAGCATCTCTCCTTCGATGAGCACACCACCCCACCATGTCTTGCCGCCGAGCCCACCACCCCCCGTCTCTCCGCTGCCACTGTGCCTCCACACCACCGTAGGCCACGTCGTACTCTTCACGATGGAGAGAGGGAGGAGGATGTGGGCAGAGCGATGAGGAGCACCGGACAGAGGGACGCCAATTAGCTCCGCCACCGGTGAGAGGGACAACAAGAACCAAGCTCCGCCACCAGTGAGAGGGACACCAAGCTCCACCGCTAGCGAGAGGGACACGTGCTGCCCCTGCGTCTCCCTGTCACGATCCCGTCGCCCTAGATCTCCCTGCCTCTGAGCTCACTGCCCTTGTGCCTCCTCGTGGCCGTAGATTTCGTCGTTCTCTTAGTGCCGGAGAGTGGGAGGCGAATGTGGACAAAGCGACAAGTAGCACTGAAGAGGGGGACGTTGAGCTCAATCGCCAGCGAGACGAACGCCAAGCCCCACTGGAGAGAGTAGGAAGGAAGGAACAAGAAATTAGTGGAAGGAGGATAGGGGCAATTTGGTCCTAAAATATTAGAAAATACGATGAACAGGTATGTAGTGGCATATCTTGAATTTATGTAAAATTGTAATGGCATAATTCTAAATATATGAATAGTAATGTCATATTTTTAAACCGTAAAATTTATGATGACATGTATCCAATAAAAAATTAATAAGGTTCAGGATGTGTCACTGGTTTCAATCGTCATGTCTTTCTATTTATGAATCATTTATTTGACCGGTAAAGCTTATTTTAATTAAGCATTGGATCAGTGGAGGTTAACAAAATAAGACAAAAACTGTCATGGGAATTGAGCTTTATATAGGTGTAACTAAAGTACAAGAATAATTAATCATCAGATGGTGACGAATAATCATTATTCTTGTTTGGTTAGAAAAAGAAAAGGCGTATTTATTTGGCAATGAGGTTTGGGCAAGCAAATCCTAGTCTATCGAGGAGAGTCAAATCGGCTCTTCCAAAATGAGTGTCGAAGCAATTGCGAATATCTGCTACAGCAGCGAAGCAGCCAAACACACTGGGCTTGCTCTTAAAAGTCATGTCACGAAAAGAAGTGCAGGAAAAATATTACAAAAATAGCTTGCTTTTTTCTTTTCGTGAGGTACATAAAATAATTCGCACAACAAAAAAAATAAAGAAATAAACTTCCGACCTGCCGGATTCGAACCAGCGACCTAAGGATTAATCCGCATCAAACTACAGTCCTCCGCTCTACCAACTGAGCTAAGGTCGGGTTATCGATGACATTGCAATTTTGTTTTATGACAAATAGAAATGTCCGTACGTTGAAAGGTGAATTTGATTATATGTATGTATGTACATTGTATCGCGGGCCTCTGTAGATAAACAGTCAAATATCATGCATCACGTGAATAAAATAGGAATTGACGAACAAAATACTAATACACGTAACATGGAGAATACTCTCTGCGGATCGGCCGGTGGGAGAAAATAATATCGTGCTATTAGGGTCTGTTTGGTTGGTACTTGTTAATATGAGTATTCTAATAATTTTATTAAGCCCTGAGCCGGGATGTCACACCTTCCTGGAGCTCTTGCTCCCATGCCTGGCCAGATGTACTCCAATGCCTGGCCAGATGTCCTCCCGCGTGTCATTAGCCTGGACTAGTCGCTAACCCGTTTGTTACACGGGCTATGGTTGACATGACATAAATATTAAATTTTAACCATATATATAAAATATCTTATAAATTGTAAAGACTTGGTAAAAAAGTTGCTTTGCATTGATGGCTACATGCTGATATTAATTTACGATGAAATTACTTAGTTGAAAGTATGAAATAGAACCATATTTCTTAATTATGAAATTAGAAACTATTAAATTTTGGAAAGGAACTAAAGAGTCGGTAGTAAATGTATGGAACCTACTTTGTAAGTATTTAAGAACAAAACTGTTGGTTCGATTAACAGCTCCAAATTAAAAATTAATAATTGTAAAATGTGTAGTCTAAATTATGGCATTCCCATGTTTTAAGAATTATTTAGATTTAGAATTGATAAGGGTCTATTGGTAGGGCTTCAATTCCTAAATTTATCTTCAGGAGTTAAGTCAGGAGTGGAGTTGCGAAAACCCAGCTTTATGTCGCTAGTTCATTTTGTTAGACTACTTCAACCAGCTCCAATCCCATTTTTAGTGAAGCTTGATTGGACTCTAACTTCAGGAGAGATGGAGCTGAAGCCGAAGCTATGGCAAACACACCCAACTGAGTCCTTTTTCTAATTTCATTATTTGTGTTTTATATAATTATTAAATTATGAGTCTAGAAATTGTAATAGATAAGTTGTACCTAATATGTAATTTTGTTTTAATGTATTCAATTGCATTTAATTATTTTTTATCGATTTGAATTTTTTTTAATTGTACATGGCATCAACTTTTTTATGGATGTAAATCTTTATAATTGAACTCCATAGTCACCGGAAGGCTATAACAATATTTGCTAACTTTCAGGGAGCCTAGTTAAATGTACAAATAGATAGTTTAGCCAAAGAGACACCAGAAAAAATTGCATGTGTTTACTCGAATAATTAATAATTTAAACACCTAATCCGTAGTATTCAAAAAAATTATCTCACAACACAACTGACAATGGCTATGGTGCAAGGTTGTTCCAGGAAAAAGAATGTGCGCATATACATATAGCTAATCTAGTATAGTATATTACGATCGATAATAGTGAAAGAATTTAATGTGGCAAATTGATAAAAAAAATCATAAAAAAATAAAGATCATGAACATACTTGTGCAATAACCATTCACCAATTAATTGATTTTTCTAGATATAATAAAATAAAATGAAATAATGCTTACCAAAAAATTTCAAATGAAATAATGATGCTGACGGAAGGAGAGCGAATTAGTATCAGAATAAGAAAACGGAAGGTACATGCCTGCCTCATCGTTGGGGTCATTACTGCCTGCCGCGGCCTGCAAACCTGCTATCAGGCCACCTCTTTAGATTCTGATCATTTTGCTTTCGTTTGCACATGTGACGGAGATCGATTTACCAGATAGATTGAGTTGAAGAAAATTACTACGAAAGAAAAAAAGGGTGCGAACCTAATTGATCTACCAACAATTCACAACGTTGCAGTGATCTCTAAATCCATTACAGCAATAACGATGAAGCCATGAAGGACGACTGGAGCATCGATCTACGTACCATCGCTGATAAAAGTTTTCCCAGATGGTCGCAGGTGTGATCGCGATAGAATCCCCGTCTCTTCTTTCGTTAGAGATACGATCGGCGACGACGTTACGTACATTAGATGGCCATTAAAAGGTGGCCCACAGTGTTAAACCAGATTGGATATAAGATGTACGGCTATGATTACATGATTCCTTTAATAGACGGATAGTTTTTTCTATAACGTGAGAGCTCGTAGAAAGTGTCCAATTAGTATAAGTATAAGTATAGATCGATAGATAGATAGATAATTGGTCGGCTAAGGTCCGGGCGCATCCACGATTTCAGTTTGCTACTGTAATCCGTCTTCCACGCAGGAAGAACGAGGGGATTCCATTCGACTGCACGCGTGCACGAAGCCGTCGCCAGACAAAGCTGCTGCAGGCGTTGTCGCCGCAGCCGTCGCGAGCAGCCGCCGCCGCGTTGTTGCCGTGCGGGCAGCCGCCGCAGCTGTCTCGAGAAGCTACTGCCGTTGTTCTCGCTGTAGCTATCCCGAGAAGTCGAAGCCGCCGCCATCTCGCCACCATCATTTTTGTATGTGAATCATCTGCCTTCGCCAGATCCCTTCATCCTGCTGCTTTGCTTCCTTGCTGTAGTCGTCGGAATGAAGCATGTGAAGGAAGCTGTAGGATCGAATCACAAAAACTAAGCCAACCAGAGAAGGGTGAATAGTTGTTATACCCAAAAACCGAAAATTTTTAGCGGAAATAAAAGTTACCCTCGAAATCGACGGAAGTCGGTCTGACCGAGATTGATCTACCGGTCTGACCGAGTGGATGCCGCCGGTCTGACCGGTGTTGAATCTCCGGTCTGACTGCCAAAGTCGCTTTCCACACCTGTCGCCGCCGCCAGTCTGACCGCCTCGCTCCCGCCGGTCTGACCGCCGCAATGCCGCCGGTCTGACCACCGGTGAGTTGCCGGTTAGACGGCCGAAACCCGGTGAAACACAAATCGAAGAACTCTTAAAGTGGATGACGACTTTATTACTTCTCTCTGTGTTTACAAAGTGCAACAACAGCACTCCTTACAAAAATTTTGACAAAACTTGAAACCCTAAACCAAAACTCAACTCTATTGCTCTCTAAAGCGATACAGGAAGCATCACGCTCCCTCTCTATTTATACCACAAAAATCCCCTACTCAAAGTAGGTGTAAAACTCCTATACACAATAATACACAATAGGACTCCATCCTTCAGTTTCCATACGTTTTACAATTTCCAAACGTGCAGCAAACAACTGGCCGCACCAGAAATCCAAAACGGATTCGCTCCCAAGCTGACGTCCACGCGTGACCATCTCCGACTCGCTGCCAGCTGGACCCTTGCTTCTCCTAGGCCGACTTGGCATGCCGCCAACAGCCACCGAAGCCCACCGAGCCGCTCTCGTGCTGCTCGGCCAACCAGTCATGCACACATACATGCTTCACCATGCATGTATCGATCACACATACCTGTACAGCACCGTACATGCATGCATACCTGCAGGCTACAGTACCTCGTGTACTGTAGCACCATATACTACCCCAACTTTACAATTCCCTTCGCGAATACCGGTACTTGCACACACACCTCATGAAGCCCGTTGCGAAGATCTCTCCCACACGATATCCATCCACCGTATGCCATCTTGTATCCAACTTCGTCACCCGGTATCCTTGACCGTCTGGACCTCAACTCCTCCCTGAGTCTAGTCCCAATCCCCACCGTTGACCAAAGTTGACCTCCAAGAATCCAGACTCTAGTCACCTTCTCACATGGTATCCCGACCGCAATAGACCTCTGCTCCTCCGTGAGCATAGTCTCGGTCCTTACCATTGACCAAGGCTGACCTCAAGTCACCTGCACACAATCAGACAAAACAACTGTTTCTGGGCACAGATATCACAACCTGACCCACATTAGTCACATGCACTCACACCAATATTCACACAAACTCTCAAACCAATTCTTTGATTAAATCATTTGCATAGCCAATTGTTCATCACAGATATTAATCATGACAATGATTTCACAATCTCCCCCTTGATGAACACATTGGCAAACTTATAAAAAATGTTTTGGTGTTTGGAAAAATAAAAACGAAAGTGGTAAAAGCACACTTCGTACAAATGTACACATCGTGCTCAAAAATCCAAAAGAAAACTTCTCCCCCTTTTTAAAAGAAAGAAATTCCCAATTGAACTAAAAACATGCTCTTCTCAACAACTTCTCCAAAATTTCACCTTGCTTCTCCAAAAATTTGCACAAAAATTTTCACAATTACTTCTCCCCCTTTTGACAATGATTTCATCAAGCATAGGAATTATGTTCATTAATATTCAAGAGATTAGCATACATATAGCATATCAAGTCATGTGTTGCAATAAAAAGAAGATAAACCCATATATAATATAACAAGCATGCATTGCATTAAAGTATAACCATGAACCAAACATTTTACAATTAAGCTTGAATCAACAATCAAAAATTCATGATTTCAGACGATTTATAATGCAACATCTTAACAAGCACATAGGTTGAAGAATAAACACTAAACACATATACCTATTGCATTTATCACTCTTTCTCAAATAACCTTGAGCACAAAATAACCAAGAGAATTTTTGAACTTTTCTTATCTTGAGCCTTTTTGCTCATATTTTTTCTCTTTTTATTCCGGGTACGTGCCTGTCGTCAAGACTGTTTCCAGGGATTCGGCACCCATTATTTTGCTCACATCGAATACGTCCTCGTCGTCAAGACTGTTTCCAAGGATTCGGTATTCATTTTTTTCATATTTTTATTCTCTATTTCACAATGAGCAATTAAAGCTATTTGAGGAATAACAAGTCAATAAAGCATATATATAGAGCATTTATAAAACAAACCATATGCTAGCATCAACATTGCATATTTTCTTAATTCAAGTAGAATTTAGATGTCATGCATCATCCCTTAAAAGCAAAATCTAAATCTCATGAAAAGACTAGAATACATACAAGCTATGCTAGAGATAAATAAACCTTCAAAGTATTGGTAGCATGCACAAGAAAATACCATATGCATAAATAAAGCTCTCTTTTCTTAATTTTTCTCATTGTCATATTGTTGCTTGATAAAACCATGAGGTACAAACTCCCTGTCAAACCATGCCAAAAGGATGAATTATTTCCAATTCACCACGAAGAAAAGCAAAGCGATTAGAATCCAAAGGTTTAGTGAAAATATCAGCAATTTGCAACTTTCTGTCCAAAAACTGCAATTCAACATCTCCCTTCTCAACATGATCCCTCAAAAAGTGAAAACGAATATTAATGTGCTTTGTGCGTGAGTGTTGAACAGGATTCTTAGCAATATTGATAGCACTAGTATTATCACAAAAGAGAGGTATTTTCTCAAAAGTAAGACCATAATCTTTCAAAGTAGATAAAAGCCAAAGAATCTGTGAACAACAACTAGCAGCAGCAACATATTCAGATTCAGCAGTTGATTGAGCAACACTAGATTGTTTCCTAGAAGACCATGCAATCAATGATGTACCAAGAAAATGACATGTTCCACTAGTACTTTTCCTATCAATTCTACAACCTCCAAAATTAGCATCGGAATATCCACTTAAGCATATAGAAGATGAAGTAGAATACCAAATTCCAAACTCAAGTGTATGATTCAAATACCTCATTATTCGCTTGATCGCTTGACGATGTGAAGCACGAGGAGAAGCTTGAAAGCGCGCACACAAGCACACAGCAAATTGTATGTCTGGCCTAGAAGCAGTTAGATACAACAAAGAACCAATCATACTTCTATACTCCTTTTGATCAATAGCTTCACCATCTTCATCAGGATCCAACACAGCTGTAGAACCAATTGGTGTTGAAATTGGCTTGCAATTCTCCATCTTGAACCGTCTCAAAAGATCCTTCGTATACTTCGTTTGATGCACAAAAGTACCTTGAGGTGTTTGCTTAATTTGCAATCCCAAAAAGTACGATAACTCACCCATCATGCTCATCTCTAATTCCCTGCGCATAGTCTCAGCAAAATCTACAACCAAAGCATGAGTCAAACAACCAAAGATGATATCATCCACATAAATCTGAACGAAAAGTTGATTATCACCATGCTTAAGAACAAAAAGCGTTTTGTCAACTTTTCCCATTGTAAAACCTTTCGCAAGCAAAAAGTTCTTAAGCCTATCATACCATGTCCTATGACCTTGTTTCAAACCATACAAAGCTTTAGACAATTTAAAAACATGATTGGGAAAATCAGGATTTTCAAAACCTGGTGGTTATTTGACATAAACTTCCTCCTGTATAAAACCATTTAGAAAAGCACTTTTCACATCCATTTGATACAATTTAAAACCTTTTGAAGCAGTAAAAGCCAACAAAAGTCTAATTGCCTCAATTCTAGCAACAGGAGCAAAAATTTCATCAAAATCCAAACCCTCAACTAGAGTAAAACCTTGAGCAACAAGTCTAGCTTTATTTCTCACAATCAAACCATCCTCATTTTGTTTATTTTTGAAAACCTACTTGGTTCCAATAATATTATGTCCAGAAGGTGGTTCAACTAAAGTCCAAACTTTGTTTCTCTCAAAATTTTCAAGTTCTTCATGCATGGCGTTAATCCACGATTCATCAGTTAATGCATGTGACACATCTTTGGGTTCAAAAGAAGCAACAAATGCGGAATTTGCACAAACATCATGAGTCGTTACCTTAGACCTTGTAGTCCGCTCACCTATATTACCAATAATTTGTTCCGGTGGATGTCGTCGTTAAATGTGCAAAGGAGTAGCCACTTCTGAAGTTGATCCACGTTCTGTATCAGTACTAGTCGAAGTAGTAATCTCTGGAGGTCTATCTCGATCAGCATCAACAGTACCGGAACCCGACGACCCTGGCCGGTCTAACCGCTCCTCATGAGCCGGTCTGACCGGAGGTGTGCCGGCGGTCTGACCGGCCTGGCGCCCGGTCTGACCGGCCGAGCCAACCTCGTCGTCGTAGTCGTCGTCGCTCTCATCTTCAAAAATACGACCATCCTCCCCCTGAACCTGTGACAGTGTACCTGCAATATCGAGTCTAGTACCTGGACTAGCCTCATCAAAAGAAACTTCGCAAGTCTCAACAATTTTGTTAGTCCCCAAAATAAGTACACGATAGCCACGAGTGTGTGCGGGGTAACCAAGAAACAATCCATCAGTAGAACGTGCCTCAAAATAATCCAAATTTCCAGATTTCAAGACAAAGCACTTGTAACCAAAAACACGCAAATGTGAAACTTTGGGTTGATGTCCAAATTGAAGTTCATAAGAAGTTTTTCCAAGTTTAGATCTCAGGAAAACCCGATTTGAAATATAACAAGCAGTGTTAATTGCCTCAGCCTAAAATTTTCTAGGAGTTTTATATTCATCCAACATCGTTCTAGCCATCTCAACCAAAACACAATTTTTTCTTTCAACAACACCGTTTTGTTGAGGAACACGAGGAGAAGAAAATTCATGTTCAAGGCCTCTTTCGTTGCAAAATTGTTCAAAAGAAGCATTTTTAAACTCTCCACCATTATCATTTCGAATTCTTTTCAAAGAACCAGGAAATTCAAGATCCAATCGAAGAAACAAACCACAAAAGTGTTGAAAAGCTTCATCCTTAGTTGCTATAAAGAAAACCCAAGAATATCGAGAAAAATCATCAACTATAACCAACACATACCACTTTCCTCCAACAGATTGCACTCTATCCGGACCAATAGTGTCCATATGTAATAGTTGTCCCGGTGCATCCGTCATCACAGAAACAATAGGAGCATGTGAAGTAGAAACCATCTTAGCATGACGACACGGTGTACAAACCAAATCAAGATCTTTCTTAAGTTTAGGCAAACCACGAACAAGATCCAAACCACTTAACCTAGTGAGATGATCAAAACCAACATGTCCAAGTCTACGATGCCAAAACATCACATCTTTATCAAACTTAACAACCAAACATGTTATCACAGGTGAAACAGGATTTTCAAAATCAGCTTTAAACACTCTTCCATAGCGAGAAATATTCAACACAGAATCACCACAAGAATCAAAAACTTTACTTCCAGTTTTCTTAAAGTGAACTTCAAAATTTTCATCAACAATTTGTGAAACTGAAAGTAAATTGTACTTTAAGTCCTCAACCAAAGCTACATTCTTCAATTCAAATTTTTCATTTACCTTAACCATACCTGTAGCGAGAACGGCACTTGTAGCAGCATCGCCAAAGATAATCGATTCAGTCTTAGATGCCTTCTTTAGGGAGGAGAGCCAATTTTTATCACCGGTCATGTGCCGCGAACAACCGGAATCCATGATCTACACGTTCTCCTTGCCACCAAAGCCTACACACAAGCAGAAGTCGAAGCCTCAGTACTGGGGTTAGATGATAATAAAAATTTAGGAATCCAGTACTGAGACACACGACCAGAAGATTCAATAGGCATATATCCATGTGCAAAATCAATTTTAGAATTTTCAGAAAAATTCCTCCGAGGCCGGTCTGACCGAGGTACAGTGGCCGGTCTGACTGGGGGCCGGTCTAACCGAGGCTTCACCACCGGTCTGACCGGTGGTCGGTCTGACCGAGGCTGTTCAGCCGGTCTGACCGCGGGACCCACTGCGGTCTGATCGGTTTCCTCGAGGGAAAACCAGATTTTTGCCACTTTGATTTTGCAAAAGCAATCTCTCTCTCCTTTTTCTGTTTATGAGCTAATCTGAAACAAAAACCAACAATATCTCCATCTTTGCCACAAAAAGAACAAGTATAATTTTCACGATGATTAGACACATTGGTAGCACTAGTAGATTTAGCAACATGAGCAACAACAGGAGATTTTACATGCACAACATTGGATTTTGAAGAAGATGCACTCATAGTAGACATGATACCAGCAGATTTAAACACAGTTTTGTTAGTATCAGGTTTAACCAAAATCTCACCACTTGTAGCATCAGCA